TTTATTGCATCAGCAATATTTCTATCGCGATACGAAAGTATTATTAAATATAAATAATGTAAAATTTCATCTAAGGTCACTCAATGAAATAATATTTTCCTGCATAACAAGGGTAACGCAATGTCAGATTATTTTTATCTTTTTTTAAATGATAGCTGTCCTATTTATTGGTGTCGTTAGTAGAGTGATTAATTGTAAATGTTATTGATTATAGGAAGGTAATATATAAAATACCTTGATCAAATTAATAATTATAACAAGATACTACATAATTTTAACCTATTAGACAAATGAAATGATGTTAAAAGAATTTTAATTTTAGAATAATTTTCAATTATGCAAACAATTAAATACACTATATATATGTATATATATATATATAATATATAATAATCTGCTAATAATTTTAATAAAAAATATAAATATGACTTACATCTCTTAGTAGTCCAAACAGCACATCTGTAGACAAAGATCTTTCATGAGCTTCATCCATAATAATTGCAGAATAATTATCAAGATCACTTTCTCTTAAACTCTCCCTCAATAAAATACCGTCAGTCATGTATTTTATTATTGTTTTCTCTGATGTGCAATCTTCAAATCGAATTGCGTAACCTACTTCATCACCTTAAGAAAAATAATAAAGGAATTAGATAATGTATCATAATTCATCATCAGAAACAAAATGTGTAAATGCAAAATAATATTTCAAAGTAAAAAACTAAGTCATAATGTGAAAAAAATATTTAACATTTACCTAGTTGAGTTCCCATTTCATCAGAGACACGTTTGGCAACAGACATAGCAGCAACACGTCTAGGTTGTGTACAACCTATCATGCCTAATCTACTGTAACCCTCTTCATGTAAATACTGAGTTAATTGAGTTGTTTTTCCACTACCAGTTTCACCTAAAATAATATAAAAAATAAAATAAAAATAAGCCACAAAAACATATAATGCAAAACATTTTTCCGAATACTCACCAACAATAATCACAACATTATTCTCCCTAATTATATTCAATAATTCTTGTCTGACAGCAAAAACTGGCAAATATCTTCTCTGTTGAATAATAGTTTTAGATTTAGAAAAATGACTTTTTCCAGTATCTTTTTGATCTTTCATGTGTTCAGCAAATTTCTGATCACTCCGATAATCGGCAGTATCGGTTTCAGCATCTAATTTTGAATCAGCTTCTTCTTCTTCCTTTTTGATACCCATAATATTACCTGTAAGGTAAATTATAAATCTTAATCTATGATCTACACAGTTTGATAAATTATATTGAATTAGATAAAAAGAGCAAGAATAAGTATCAAACTCATTAACTTTTTGAATATTTTGATAACAAAAAGGAATAAAAATGATAGATTCGGTATTTATTATAAAATACCTATTGTGGTTCCACCGAGTTCCCAATGTTTTTTCTGGGCTTTTCTTCGCTCTTTTTGTTCTCGATATACCCTTACTAAAGCACTGCCCTTGCGAGCTGTGAGTGCCATGTCTGACCCAGGATCTCTAACAGGCACAACTGGATCTGGCTGCCTTGTAAAAACCATTCTTCCATCCAAAAATGGAGGCACTATATGATGCACTAATAAATGAACTCTATCTATGGTTTCCTAAAGCAGAAACATACTACATAAATTAAATCTATAGGATAAAAAATATAATAAAATAATATATTACAATGTCTTACCTCATCAAAGTCTTCATTTACATTGGTGGTCATAACAACACCAGATGTTAACATACGATTACGTTCCCACAACTCATTATCTCGATTAATTTGTCTTTGTCTGGCAGTCATTCTTCTCTTCTTCTCCATTTGTTGCTCTTTACGATTTGTATAATCAGAACTTCCAAATGGATTCCTTTCTTCATCAAACCCTAAAAATTATCACATACTCATCCATAAATCAAGAAAATATTGACAAATTATATATAATAAAAATAATATAATGATCATGATATTACTATTACTAATTATTGATTATATGTAATAATTTTGATCAAATTTTGTATACCTTCATCAATGTTATACCATTCACGATCGAGTCTACGCTGTTCTTCTTCCCATAAATCTTTATCTTCTTCAGTTTTCCAAGGTTTTTCTGGAGAATTATCAACCATAGGTGTGGCACCTGAACGTTTACGCTCTGCAGCCCATGTATTATACCTATAAAAATAAGTTATCAAAATCATCAGATAGGGGTAAAGATGAAGATTTTATTTCGAAAAATAAAATTGATAAGTCATGTATTAAAGAAAGTTTATATGTATTAATTGTAATTTATATGTATTAATGTACAAAATATGTCTGTATCCAAAAATATACAATTACCTGTGTGCTGGTGTGGGCCTAGGTGTCTCATTATAGTTTCTTCTTTTACTACTTCTTACACTATCCAAATTTGTTTGTTCAATATGCACTTTAGGTGTAGGTAAATCCCAAGATGACCTTTTTAGTGGTACCTTTTCATCATCATCTTCCCAAGAACTTTTACCAGGTCTGTCCTTTTCGGGGTAGATATTTGGTGTTCTTGGTTCATCTCTGAATCTGATAAAATTATAAAAAATATACATTATATAAATAGAAAATGTTTGATGGTATTACACAAGCCAAATAGAAAGTATAAAATATCGATATAAATGTGGTAATGTGGAATTTAGTAATTATACAAGTTTTAATTAAAGTTGACAACATATTTCTTTGTTCAACAAACCTAGGTGTGCCTTCACTTCGACTGGAATAGTCTCTATCACGTTTCCTTGTTGATCTATCATCTCGTTTTCTATCATAACTACGTCTATCATAATCTCTATGGCGTGAACTGTATCTGTCTCTATCTCGGTCCTTACTACTGTCTCTATCTCGATTTTTATCTTTATCCTTGGTTGAAGCATACACTCCTTTGTGGCTTCTATCATTATATTTATGGTGTTCTAACCTGTTTTTGAAAAACAAATATTAAATATTGAGCAAGTTATTTTACCAATATAAAAAAATCTTAATTATTACGTCTTATATAAATAATAAATACTTTTCTCTGGCCTTGTCTGATAGACCCCCTGTGTGCGTTGGAGTTTCTATATGAGGTTGTCTAAAATTTTTGGATAACTTAGACTGTTCTTTACTGTCTTTTGAAGAATTAGAGCCGGTGGCTTCTTCGTCATCTTTATCTCGCTCATCAAATGATAATCGAGATCGTAATTCTTTTTCTAGCCTCTTGCTAGCAGCGAGTTTATCTAAACCTAATTTTGAAACTTGGGGCACTTTAAATGTATCAGGCTTCTTTTTCGTTATCACTAAACCACCTTGAATATTTTCTGAGGCTTCTAATCGATGGATATCTTTATCTTCCATAATAAAATACTATAAAAATAAAATATTAAAATTTCGTTAATGAATTACGTATTTTTGGTTAGCATAATGCAAAACGTCAAGAACTGTCAAATAGCAAGTGAGTAACATTAGGCGATGAAACAAGTTCACATGAAAATGTTACCAACTGATAAACAAAAAATAATCAGTTACTTTTTAAATGGTATTTAAAATGATAATTATTATATGAAAAATATTATTATTAAAAAATACAATATGAAGTAAATTACATTAATAAAGTAATTAAGTTATACTTGTATTTGTCTAAAAACCATTGTTAATTCCAAATGTTTTTCTTCAAACATTATTAGAATATTAAATATTGTGCAAAAACCTTTCAATATCAGCACGTACTGAACATAAATAAATTTAATTTAATTACTTGATTATAATCTTAGAATTAGTAATGAATAAAAAATATTATATCAAGTGTTATTATAAGAATTTTATTACCATGTGTATTTTACAAACAATTTTTTTCCAACATATTATTGATGCTTTAATCTATTGCAATGGATTAACAAAACAATTAATGTTATAACATTTATAAAATTTCATTGCATGAAGTATTCGTTCAATACTGATATAACTTTAATAATATATTTACATATTAGATTGAGCACTAAATAATTGACTAAAACGAAGTAAATGACTAGGCTATTGTCGTGTTATGTGACTAGGTTATAAAAGTTAATACAATTTATTTCTAGATTTTTTTATATACTTAGTAAATCTATTTATATTGGTGTTTTTAAGGCATCAGTACAACATTTTAAAAATATAACAGTGCATTATTGAAATCAAAATAATAAAATAAGAATTGCATAAAAAATAATTATTGAGCATTTCAAAATATAGCTATTAAAATATATGTGAAAACTTTGAGATATTATACAACTAAAATATATTATTATATAAGATAATAATTAATAACTACTATTTAAATAAACAGTATACATTAATATGTGCAAGTCCTATTACAAATTTTAAATGCGGGACTGTAAGTCAATATACAATATATCTTTCTTGGAAGTTACATCTTATAATTAGTTGCATTCTGCAGTTAGAAATTAAATATATTATAAAATATACATTACTGTTATTATAGTTACTCAACAGTTAAACTAAACCCATTTACAAAGTAATCATAAAATTTGAAAGATCTTGAAATTTAAGAGGAAATGTCCAAATACAGTGGTACCCCGACATGCGAGTTAAATTCATTTTGTAACCACTCTTGCATGTACCTCGTATCTCAAAGCAATTGAAGTGTCATTAATTCGTATCAGCACTATTTTTTAAGGTTTTTGAATATTAAAAATAAATTATCTATAATTGTTTTTATCTGTCCATTCAAAACATCATTCAAAGGTGCCAGAACAAAATTCTGCGTATCTTAACTAATGCGCCTTGGTATAGTTCGAACTTTTGCCTATATAAGAATTTGAAAATCTCTACAGTCAACTAAACGATCAAAATTAGAAGTTCATCTTTCAACAATAAATTAATCTAGCATACAAATCCTACTATTCAACCGATTCACAGACCGTTAAGAAGACTAAGCAAGAAATGGCCTTCCGATCTACCAAACACCTAGCCCAAGATCTGCACGCGTTCTAACTTAAGTTAGGGCTAACTAATTAATACATCATCAGGGGGCGTCAATTAATTACGTGAGCGAGTTTTTAAAGATTTTTGGACCCCCCCTCCCCATTGGTGACATTTGGTGATATTCGAAATTACCCCCCTCCCCCACCGAACATCACATATATTTTTAGTTACGTGATAAAACTAAAATTTTTGAATTTTTTATTGAAAGTTTTTGAATTTTTTTTAAAAAAAACAGTTAAAAAATAAATACACGTGATACCTTACTATGCCCCTCCTTCCCCCCACGTGATATTTTGTGATTTTTTCAAACCCCCCCTCCCCCTAAAAAGCTTACGTGAGTAATGGACGCCCCCTCACGCCATAGTTCATTTATGTTATTATTTTTATTTTACTGTTATTATTTTAGTTTATTTTAACTTTTATCATTTTATATTCAATTTATTGTATTTTTTCGTATTATTTCTTTTTTGCACCTATCAATTCTGTAAGTAAGACATTAAAGTCTTGATTAGCAAAAATAAATTATAACAAAAAAAACCTGTCCATTCATGATATTGCGAAAATAAGAAGCAGTACACATACGTTACCTATCTATAAAGAGTTATGCTCGTACATATAGCTATGTAAAAATATGTTCATATTTTTCAATCATTTCACGCTTTTTTTTAAAGACATTGCCTTCTTCTTTAGACGTTAGGGTATAAAAGTACTTAATATTTTGTAAGTGTACGAAAAAAAATAAAAAAAAACGCAAATTCGTATCTCAAAATTTGGCGCTCGTAAGTCGGGGAACCACTGTACAATAGTGTACTTAACAAAACATACAGACTATTATATTTATTACATGGAAGTTATTTCATCAAAACCTAGTAATTTTACCGCCATCGTCCAGCCCCCGTCCATTCATGAGCGTTGGTGACCTAGGAGGAGTATCGTAAGGAGCGTGCCCTTCGATCATCTCGTGCTGCATTCTTCTAGGAGGACGCATTGGCAGAGTTGGCAACTCGGAAGCAGGAAACACAGATCGCTGGAGCATGGCAGGGTTTACGCAATCGTAGATTGTCTGGTATTGAAAGATGATAAAATTAGTTACGAAGTAATTGAAAAATGTGATATCATCAGATGTAAATCATTATTTCGAGACAAAATGTTGCTTAAAATATTTTGTTTAATTAGCAAAAAAAACTTTACTAATTAATCGGCTATTGTATTGTAAGATACTGACGTAAGATCACAAACTATTAAATATATTACGTTATATTCAAATAGTTAATTATTTATCTAGTCATATATAAAAACTTTTTGTAAAAGTAAAGTGCCATTGGTAGAAAATTTATGTATTACCAACATGTACATTGTAAAATTCAGTGTAATAAATGTACTAAATCGAGCTAAAAATCGTTGATATTTCTATTAAATTTTAATAAAAATGTCAACAAATACTTCGAGTATAGTTAATTAGTCATAATTGGATTGGGCAAGTACTGGGTTGCCATCCATTCAAAAAAATCTATATAATAAAGTCAAAAAATTACTGAATGTCTTAAGTGTGACAGATTGTAATTAAAAAAAATAGAAATAAATAAAAAAATCTGTTAAATTTTAAATTAAAAATTACTTTACTGACAACCATAAAAACACTTTATAATAATGTAGTATTATATCATAGTGATAAAAGCGTTTTACTAGCGTCAGCTTACTTTATTTATATTTAGATTTGATTTAGATCAACACTAAATTATATTATTATGACTCAAAATGCTTTTAATATTATTAATTATCTTGACAAGAGCCTGAAATAATATCTATTATTATTGATTACGGCTTGCTTATGAATAAATAAATAAATGAATAAATAAATATTTAATAGAATTATGATTCAAACGCTGTTATTATCTCATACCTCAAAAGTATAATCACTAAATACACAACTTTATTATCACGAAAACGTCGAAAATTGTTTAAAATTGCGCAAATTATAAGGCACATTAATTAAATTTTATGCCATAAAGCTTAGATTTTTTACGAATTTGTTTTGCAGATAAAATTATTTAAACAATCGTAGCATATAAATATAAACTACGCCAACAGTTTAACCATAAATATATCCCTCCCGTCATACATATTTAATTAATAGTGTTAATTTTTAAAAATCTATCAAAAAATCTATAAAATTATGAGTCTGGTGGATTACTTTTTTTTGTAATTCAAAACATATTATTTCAGATTATTATAAAAAAAAATATAGTGAAGCAAAGTAATACTCTCGTTAACGTTTTGCTCTAACAGGAGACATGAAATCTCTAATTAACGAGTTTTTAATTTATAATATTCAAAATTTAAAAATGTAGTGTGCGTTATTATGTTTCAAAACCATTTATAAAAAAAAAATTAACTAACAATTAGTTAATTATCTAAGTACATATTTAATTAACTGTGTTAATTATTAAAAATCTATCAAAAAATTCTAAAAAAGTATGAGTCTCGTGGGTTACTTCTTTTTTGTAATTTAAAACATATTATTTCAGATTGTTATGAAAAAAAAAGTAAAACAAAGTAATACTCCTCGTCAACTTTTTAACTCTAACAGTAAACATGAAATCTCTAATTAATGAGTTGCTTGTTTATAATATTCAAAAATTAAAAATAAAGTGTGCGTTATTATGCTTCAAAACTATTTATAAAAAAATATTAACAATTAATTAATTACCGAAGTACGTATTCAATTAACTGTGTTAATTTTTAAAAATCTATCAAAAAATTCTAAAACAAATATGAGTCTGGTGGGTTACTTTTTTTGAAATTTAAAACATATTATTTCAGATTGTTATGAGAAAAAAAGTAAAACATGGTAATACTCTCGCTAATGCAACGAGATTATCTCTAACAGTTTTATAGAAACATGAAATTTCTAATTATTAAGTTGCTAGTTTTTTAAATTCAAAATTTAAAAATAAAGTGTGCAATATTTCCATCATACCTGCCTGGAGATATAGTGATTTGATCGTGGTGCAAATGATATGGAAGTCAGTGAAGGCAAAGCCTGTACCAAATCACTCCTGGCAATCCCTCGAACTATGAGATAACTTCTTGGTACCAAAATTCCTCCTAAAACGATCCAAGCTGTCGACACAAGACCTAAAGGCACTGAAGCTTCTTTGCATGTACTACCAGAACTAAACAACACAGAAATTAATATCCATACAAACCATGCTATGGCTATAATATATGAAGCTACTGTCATTAGCATTCCTTCCATGTAGTTTCTTTGAGAACGGTATACAAAAGGTGTGATTATTAACAATGATATCAACAAAAACACATTATAAGATATAGCAGTCAAATAATAGTCACTATCAAATATGTTCCTGCATAAATTTACGTCGCTGGTGTCTTTTAGGTGGTAAACTAGCAGTTGCGAGGATATACTTAGTTGTACCAAAAACATGAAGAAACATATAGTTATTTGCAAAAATCCATTCACGTGTGATAAAAAACCACCTTCTGATCCTACTGAACACAACATAATTGCCCTTGATAATAGCTGAGAAAATAAAAGACAATAGCTGACACTAAGAACAAACACTCTCCACGCACAAAGAATATTCTGATTCAGTTGAAGAAAGTCATGTTCAAAGTTCTCATATCTAGATTGTGTTATTACTAGTTTCTGATTTTGTTCGTGGTCTTCAAATGTTACACTAAACGGTATTATTGATGCAAACATTGGCAATAAAGATAACAACAAAATAATTGTTGCTAAAGGATTTCCTTCCATAATATCTCCTTTGCATAATCGAATAATCACAAACAGCAAAATTGCCAAGGTTGTGAAGACCCCAATTCCGGATACAGCCAAACTTGCTGGTACCCATGGATCCTTTCTCAAATATAAATATAAATAATCATGATACTGATGATGATTTCCTTTAAAATAATTACTGCATGTATCAGCAGTCGTTTTGCAATACTGCACTGGGTCATGATCTTGCAGACACTTGGCATGAGCAAAATATTTAGCTTTCTCTTCGGATGAATCTTCATTGAAATTGAAAGTCAAAACATCTGTTATTACATTAAAATTGCCAATGTTAAGTAAACCGTTTTCGTTTTCAGTATCGTTCGTTCTCATGAGTATGTCATAATAATAACTCAATTCGTTGTCTTCAATGAGAAAAATGTCTAAAATTTCTTGCAAACTTTTCTTGTTGAGTATCTTAAATTGCTTCTTTACAAACGGTGGGAAGTCGGAGTATATTACCGTGTCGTTCTCACAGTATTCCGAGATATATCTGTTCAGCATATCAGCAATATTCAGTATAGAATTTCCTAACTGATAAATGCTCTGAATATCTCGAGATGTCGAACTGACTTTGTTTTTGACAAATATAATTGTGGAATTGGATAAATCTTGAAACAAAAACAAATGGATAAGATAATAGACATTTAACACGTGTATTAATTTCAATATTATATTATTACCTTTGATGTACGTATTATTATCATCTGTCGGAACCACAAATTGTAAGGTTTCATTTTCATAATTTATAATTGAATTTATAATGAAATTTTCATCTCCAATGATGACCCTAATTTCAGATTGATCTTCCTCAGAATTTTTTAATCTGTGAAACCACATTTTATTATTGAATAATAAATTCAATTATTTAATACTATAAGAAGAAAATAAATTTAATAATCTAATTATAAATGTATAGATATAAGATATACATATAATAAAATTTGGTATTTGGTGGACCACATGAAAACTCTATTTAAAGTGGAACCATTTATAAAACATATATATGAAAAAATGTTATTATTTAGATATTGAAAATAAATTATAATTAAAATGATAATATCAATATCATAATAAAAAAAATTTCAAGTCGTCCATATATTAATTCTACTCAAAATATCTAGATTTATACAGATAGCATAGTAAATAAATATAAATAAAATATGAATATATTTCAAATATATTTAAATCCGTACTTCAAATTGTTATTTCAACAATATACACAGCTTCAATTATCATTGAAATAACTCTCGTGCAATAATTTGATAACACGAAACGTGTATTAAATATATACTATATACAATAATTGTCAAATGCATTAATTAAATTGTTCTAATAATATTTACAATCACTTATAAACATTTCATTGCATAACAGCGTTCTTGAAATTACTTCATAATAAATACAAATTAATTAACGGTGCTCGTAAACAGATGTGAAATAAGAATTTATATCTGAGGAATACCGTATTGGAACGATGATTGAAAACGTTTGAAATAAGTAAAAAAACATTAATTTTTCATTTTAATTAAAAATCGGTAAGCATGCATCAAAGATAATTTTTTATAGCCGTTTTTCATATTGCATTTTATATACACTTCATAATTCAACTTCGATACAATTTCAATATTTTGTATAGTAATTAAAACGGTTTTGAAATAGTTTTTAAAGATATTTACATTATTATTATCATTAGTTTATGTATATATTTTTAACAACAATATTAATTCAACGAGTCCTATGAGCTGTAGCGCTGAATTCTTAGACGTGGATATTGACGAATTTGTTATTAAAATTTCTTTAATACTGATGACTTTATTTATGCAACAATGGCGTGGAAGGCCATTTTCACTTGGAAAGATATTTCTATCCAATAAGTGAAAATTGATGTCACTACTGCTTGACTGTCCGAAGCGGGTATCGAACCTGAACAAAGTTCATAGTTCTAACCATTGGGTCACGAAAAATCCCTATTTTTATTCTGAACATCCAGCAGAACTAAGTCTCCCACGTTCTGTTGGAACCGATGTTTATTTCTAGGTTTAGAATATTATAGGAAGATCATCCAATAATTGCGAGATTTAAATTTCATTCACCTCTAAATGCAATTAGAAGACGACCCAACTAATATCCTTTTAAATTAAGATAGGAATATTAGATAGCATTTTCATTTGGAAGCATACTTGGTTCTATATTTTCAAGTAGATACAGATATCACTGCTGCTTGATAACAGAGTGTCTAGAACGTGACCCGTAACTGTTATTTACCACAGCTCTACAAACCAGTAAGGATTCAAAGGAGAACAAAATTTTTCGCGTAATTTTTTTTATATTTTTAGTGGGCTTGATGTTGAAGATCTGAGCCATAGAGTAAAAACACTGTCTGACAGACATGCCCAGAGTTAATTGTGTATACAGTAATACCCCGCTTAACGCTGATATGGTTTAACGCTCTTTTATTTCAATCCAGGCTTTGAAGGGGTAAATGTGGAAGACCTTGAAGAAATAATTCAAGAAGCAGCACAATCTTTCTAATGATTAGCTCAAGAAATTCACTGAACGAGAAGAAAACAAAAATGTTGACAGCAGTAGTTCAGAGGAAGAGCTACAAAAAACTTTCGATGGCATTTGTAAAAAGGAGTTTGCCTACCATATCAGAAATAATGGATACATTGAAAGAGCTCAAAAGTAAGGCGTGGTGTTAGGAATGTTCTATTCATTTAGGAAAAACTTTTAACAGAACATCATTAGTCAAAGAAAAAGGCAAACAACATTAGGTGCTTTTGTCACAAAAAGGCAGATCACTGAAAAAGCGGAAGACTGGCTAAATATGACTAACTTAGAAATTCATTTGTTTTTTCAAGAATATTCGTTTTGTTATTTATGTTTTTTCTGTTTTTGCAAGAAATAATAATGTTAACATAAATGTTTGGTTTTATTTTCATTAAAAAAACATACTTTTTAAATTTGATACCTAACCAATTTCCTAGCCATCTTCCCCTAACCCCAACAATTCCATATAAAGATAGCCTCGTTTAGCGCTGTTTTGCATAACGCTCTACTTTTTCGAAACGTTTCCCCCCCCTGTACATTTATAATGATACATATAACTTATAAGATATTTATAAAAATCTATGTCAAAATCAAATAACTTATCTTATTTTCTAAAGACTTACTGGTAAGGCTGGCTAGGTCTTAAGACACAAAGACCCTCGATCGCCGCGTGTTTCGCGAACGATGTTGCAATTTCCGTATCATTGATCGCAACGTCCAGTTCTCCGCGGGTCATCCAAGGACCCTCGCCTAGGACCCGCGCTACGGCCGCTGGCAAAGATGGCCCGTCGTCGGACAAGGGCCAAATCGAAATATTCAAAGATTCCGATAATGCAGATACATGTGAAATGTCTTCTAATAAAATTATACCTAGAAGAATAATTAATGAAATTAAAATAAAAGACACTACTCATATATGTCACTACTCATATATTCAAAGACTCTGATAATGCAGATGCATGTGGAATGTCTTCTAATAAAATTATATCTAGAAAAATAATTAATGAAATTAAAATTAATGATACTACTCATACATGCCGCAAGTAATAAATAATAATTGTTTAGAATAAAATTTAAGTTAAATCTATTTATGAAAATAGATCAAGTTATGTGAATAATAATTTCATCTATTTTAAATAAATATTATGTAGTCACTTATTATTCAGAAAACAATTTGTGAATTATGTAATATTTTTTTATTATTAATTGAATAATAGAATATTTTTTGATTATTATTATTATATATGTTTACAACTGTAATCCCCAGTTTGAGATATTTAAAAAAAATTATTATTTACAACTGTAAGATGTACTAAAACAATGATATGTTATGATAGAAATATGATAGAATATGATAGAAAATGGCACAATAATTGATCTTTATGATAAAAAACAATCAAGAAAGTTTTTTTTAAGGAAATAAAAAAATTATTGGTACAATTCGGTCTAAGAATAAGATGCGTCTCAATCATATTATAATCGAAAGATGGATTATAACCATATTCTTTTGATTATAATATAAAGCTTATATGAATTTCCATCATGAATCAAAGTTGACCAAGAAGTTTTATGAATCAAGTGGAAATTAGTAATATTATATTAAGTTCTTATACCAAAATAATAATAGTTCATTTTGTATAAAATGAAAAATAAACTTATTGTTTATTATAAGTGTGATAAAACTTATTGTCTGAGAATTATTTATACAAAACAATACATACAAATATACGTACACATACAAAAATAAGTGCATGTTTTTCTGCCTAAAAGCATCATGCTTTAAAATTAGTATCAGAATTCCATCCATTGTTTGTTAATTTAATTCATTTATTATTTTCTTTTGTAATGTATGCAAATATATAGTAATGCAAATGTTGTGACCAGTTTTTATTAGAAAATAATTTTGTTATTATTAATAAAATTAATAATATTTAATAATATATTAACAACTAGTATACTAGTATGTATTTAAATCAGATACTTCTTATTTGGTTACTACTGATAGCAAATAACATACAATACAAGTATGAATTCAAATTAAAAATATGTTCATTTAAGCATTTTGTTACAAAAACATAAATTTCTTAATTCTCGATTGAATTTTACACAAATTTTAGATTCACGACGTTAATTTATAGAATATAAATATTTATCGTTAGGCAATATAAAAATATGAAAACGTTATACAATTATAGAGAATAGAATTATAAAACAATAAAACAAAATATCAATATAACAAAATATAAATATATTAAAATATTAATATATTGCATAGAAATTAATTATAGAGATAAATAACAATATTGGTTAAATAGTAATAGTACCTACATTTCCAATTTAGAAATTCATATTTGTGTTAATTAGAGTACTGTACCGAAGAGTTTTCTCAAGAAAATTATTATAATAAAAAGCTTTCACGATTTAAATATTTATTAGATTTTTAACATACATTTTTAAATAAGAAATAAATGTTGAATACATTACACGTATATATAAAACAAATAATAAATATTGATATGAATATAATTAGGTAATAAATAAGTCAAACGTTACGCAGAAGTAATTCAAATAAAAAATATAACATAATTATTTTCTTATTCAATTTAATAAAACAAAAATTCATATGCCATAATAAAAATAACTCAAGAGTTTATGGCTCATATAAATTATTAAACACACATAATAAAAAGTAATGGACTTCGCACATTTTTAGTTTTCTACTGCACGCACGATAAAATCGCGGAGTGGTCGCTTTTTCAGTTTCCTCGAAGAAATTACTCTCGGAGGAAATTTAGCAAATAAAGTATTTACATCGTATGGGAAGTACTTTCTAATATAAAACGTTAAGTCCTATCAAACGTCCTATGTTGAGTCGCAAAAAGAGTATTATATAGACTGATTATAATAAAAATTTATAATAGGTTGAGGTCGAGTTTTATATGGTTGTACTGTTACAATTAACGGTAATGCTAAAGGTAAAAAAAAGGTTTTCAATTTTTTGCACAACTTTGTCTAAAGACATCGGAACTTTTAAGAGATTCCGAATATTAATTACTAATAACTAAAAAAATAATTTTTAGTTTTATACTGTTCGAATAAAGTTTCTACGTTTTTTTTAATAGATTCTCACTTTTCCCATAATTTCTGCATTACCACGCATATTTCAAGGCTAAAATTGGCCAAATCGGTTCAGCCGTAATCGAGATTTTGCATACCTAAGTTAATATCGAGCTCCATTTTTATATATAAAGATTCACACATCACAATTTTATTTTTTTTTATTTTATATATATCTGTCCAATAAAAAAATGCGTCTATAAATTATATTATATTTCGCAATGTGACAGAAAATTGTGATTTCCTGTTCATCAATCTGAAGGCTTATTACATCCTTATAGATCCAAATACTAGAATCAATATTTTAAATGCCCATTATTCTATAATTGTATGATTGATTGCTCTATACTTATAATTTAATATTATTATTAATATTATTATTAATATTATTATTATTATGTGTAAAATTGTTGTGGAATGTGGTGTTATGATATCTATATGAACAAAATGCAAAGAAAAACAGCGCAAATAATTAGAATAAACGAACCATGTAATCAAAGCAGATAATAATTGCTAAACAAAAGATTTGCAAACTACTCAAGTATGTCAAAACAAGCTTGTTTTCTTTTCATAAATAGTGCAGAATCTTTGGTAAATTCTTTCGATTCTTGCTTCTCTAGATGTGCAATCTATACATACCAATGCTATTTTTCACCTTTTTTATAAAAATGATTTATATGTGTCTACGATTTTTATTCATATTAGGTTTTAATAAGATTTTTCATCTTTTCTAAATCTTTTTTCCTTATTTTTAAGTAACGTGTACTTAAAAATTATATTAAGGTTGCGTAAAGTAAGCAACAGTGCTCACAAACAAAAAATCTAACAAGGAAAAATAACCTCATTTTTAAGTAACGTGTATCTAAAAATTATATTAAGGTTTCGTAAACTAAGCAACAGTGCTCAACCAAAAAATCTAACAAGAAAAAAAACTTTGGTTATAGATTTTCAAACATTATTATCGTCATCAAGGTGATGTTAATACATTTGGGATACTTTCAAATATTGTTCTTAGAAAATTCTTAACTTTACTGGTTTTTGAATTATCGGTACTGGCCCATTTTTTAACTTTCCGTAAAGCAGGTTATAGTAATCGCAAAAAAATCGAAAATGAAAATTTTTATATATCTTTACGTTTCAAAAGTTTTTGAACATTTTGGCATACCTTAGAGAAAATGAATGTGTGTGTGTGCGGATACAAATTTGACGATTTAGGGCGAAGGCAGGTCTAGCCGTTCCGAAGATACGGGGCAAAAATGCCCAAAACGGTAAATCAGTTTTAAAAAGACCGGAGCGTCCGATTTTAATAATTCAAAAAATATTTTACTTGTATTGACAAGGTGAAGAATTGATTAAATTTGTGGTAAGGCAGATCCAGCGGTTATAGAAGCTCAATAAAAATAAGTTTAAAAAATGCCATTTGGCGGTCAAAAATGTTTGTTGGACATATATACATCAAATTATCAGATATTTTATAGAGATTATAATAATATGTACCCATTTTGTGTGATTTTTTTTGGGTTCCGTAACAAGATTTTTAATTACGGTACGGGAAGTTCCAGCAATTTGCCTTAAAGCACAATCCCATGCACCCCACTAGTCTCTCCTACCTTTAAGCCCCGCTCTACCCTATCTATTTTAAGGTCTATTACTAGATTACAATGTCAATAAAATAATGAAAAAAAGATTTTTTTTCGAAATAATCATTCTTTGAAATAATAAAATAAAATAAAATTTAAATATTCCAATTAAAGCTTTCATTTATTGCTGAGTATTATTGCTTTCTAGGAATCTGTGATTACGAGATATATCACTATTCCAAATAGCGACCCAGTTCCATATATGACTAAGTGCATTTAAACTATTAAAACTAATCAACATATTTGCAAAACTATAATCGTTTTCGAACAAAATATCCAGCTCAAACTAGTTTTATTCGTTTGCGATATTATTGTTTGATTTCCTTCACTTCGTGTATTAAAACTCCCTAACTTTCACATCCCGCAAAAAAATGCTAGTAGCTTTCAGATAATGTATACAGGCGTGTCGCTCTTTGGCAAATTTATTTAGTTATAAAAACGTAATATAACTGGTAGAAAACAGACAGTTGCATTGAGATCATAAAATTATAATTATAAGAGAAAATAAACTATTTCTTACCTAAGTGATACACTTTCTCACATTTGTTTGACTGTGTGAGCATCGCTTGTAGTAAGGACTTTGTTTGCCAATTTTCGTCTCCATCTTCGCAACTTCGGTAAATTTTTAAACCTGGAAAAGGATAAAAAAATATTGTAAATGCAAAATCTGATTTAAAATATACATCATTGTTAGTAGATACTAGAGTATGTCATATTTTTAAGTTGAAAATATTAATTCTTAAAAATTTATCAAAAATAAACATGATTTATGATTGTTAGTTCTTAATATTATTTGTAATTTTCTATCTCATGTCTGAAGACTAGATTCTATGTTTTATTCACGTTTCAAGTCATTCTGAATCAATTTAGACCAAACTTGGAAGAATTATAGAGTGTTTATGTGTATGTGAGCCAAAATTTGACCTTTTTATGTACCGTTTTTATATGACTGTTATTGTTAAAATACTTAATAATTAGTTAACTAAAAACTTATAATTTGAAAACACTTAAAAAATTGTGAAACAAAATTTTGACTTTTTTTTAATTACTATTTTTATATGACTGTTATTGTTAAAATACTTAATAATCAGTTAAATAAAAACTTATAATTTAAAAGCACTTAAAAAATTGTGAAAAAAAATATTTCTTTCATCAAAATACCTAAAAATTTGTAAAAGAAAAAACTTATATTGTAAAAATACTTGATAATAATAATAAAAATGATAATGATAATGTTAATAATAATAATATTAATAATAATAACAATAATATAAGACACTTAAATTTGTTAAAATATCATAAAATAACCTAAAATTTGTTAAATAAAATAATTCTATTGTAAAAGTATTTATTGTAAAGATTATTAAAATACTTATTAAATTGTTAAAAAAATACTTGCAACAAACTAGTTATATTTAAAAAAAAATAAAATTAACTAAATATAAATAAGTTTATAGTAAATAAATTAAATAATAAACAAATAAGTAATAAAATAGCTAATAATTAATTAAATTATATTAAACCTATAAAATATTGACTTAAGCCTTATTATAATATTATTATACCGAAGGCTTGTAAAATTAATAAATAAATGAATAATAAACAAATACTCTTAAAATGGCAATCAGATTTGCTAATTTATATTTAGACCAAAATTGGAAGAATTGTGGAAAGTCTATGTTTTTGGGAACCAAAATTTGTCATTTTTTTATGTACTCTTAAAATGTCAATCAGATTTGCTAATTCTATGGCTCATCGATGTTTCAAGTCATTCTAATTCGATTTAGACCAAAATTAGAAGAAAGTTAGAGTGTCTATGTGTGTGTGAGCCAAAATATGACATTTTTTAATGTTCTCTTAAAAATGGCACTAAATTCAAAAAATTAAGAACATTTTTGACTAAATTCGATAAATTCTTGTGGTGCTTTGTCAAACGATCGGCCGAACCGTTTTTTTCCAATTAGCAGATGAATGCAAAATTTTGTGCATACTTTTTCCACAAAAACCCTGAACTGATTTTAAATATTCAAAAACTTCGAAATATATCAGCAGAGAATGGTGATGAATAGGTGAATGAAGAGTTTCTTCGTATCCAAAAGGCTAAAGAATATTGTCGATTTTGATGAAAATTTGTACGAAATAGAGTTTGTGGTCTCAACGAATATCCTAAAATATTATAGTCCTGTAAAAATGGTTCAATTATGAAAAATAATCAAAATTATAAGCCAATAGAAACCAGATATACTATTATAAGAAGCCCTTATAATAATACCAATAAAATGGAAGAATCAACTATAACTACAACATAATGAGCAAAAAGTATATAATTATTATAACAATTTTGAGCTAGAAATCAATTTTTATTATGATTATGATACATGCAATAATTATTTACATATAGGGCAGTTTTTGCCTTAAGGCATAAGGAAAATTTGATGGTGCAACGCAGGTAAAAATTTATTTTTCCATATTTTTCAATACTTTCATTACGATCACAGGCAAGAGTATTTATCAGAATAACGCCCACTAAAATTTTTCAAATCTTTCTTCCTAATGTCAAAGTTGTAAATATCAATATAAAATAAAAGTTAGCAGTCAATGCGACATTTAGACACGGGCGTTAATAAGCAATAAGCGCGGCTAAGTTTCTATGCACAAGGCCTTTTAGGAAATATCAATGTAGAATTTTCACATTCTTATTTGTTGCAGCTGTAAGGTAAAGATAAATTTACGTTATACTGGAAAGGTTGCACTTTATTTTATACAGGTGTGCATCATTAGTAAATAACAAACCGTTGCTAATTGCAGAAATCAGTGCTTTGCAAACTACTGTAGCAGTTTACAGATGATAATATGGGTCAAAATATAATTTAAAATCAAGCATACCTACTGCATTTTTAATGGTCACTTTGGCCAAATCCTTTTTTTATCTCTAAATATATTAAAATGACTAGAGCACATTCATTGTTCTATTTTAATAAGTAACACAGATTCACAAAAAAAGTTGTCTGCATTGGGTATGTGACATATGTTTTTCAATTTAGTTCTCTACATTGAAAGACTTTAGATTATCTAAAGTCAAACCACAAAAATAGAGATAAATAAAAAAACAACAATAGCATCGATATAGTAACAGCGTGATGATTAAAATCTTATAACTCCTGTCGTTTCCTGGCCCTTTTTACCTTAAATGAATGACTTAAATTATCTATTAAGTTTTTTTTAGAATACAGCAGTAATTTGCAGTTTTATTTTTAATTTTTCTTTATTTTTTGTTGCTTGACTCCTAATTTTGACTTTATACTCGTGTTCACCGGTGAAACTACTTTGAAAAATATATGTCGCACACCCAATATAGAAATTTTTTTATGTAAACCTGTGGTGTCATTATTTAATATATAAAAAACTATTATAATTCTATTAAGTTTATTCTCAGTAGGTTATTGACACACATACTAACATAAGTGATAGTAGGTATTTTGATTAATAGGTAATAAATATGCAGATGTTGAATCTAATCGAAGACTATACAATTTATTTTAAGTAAAGCAACAAGTTTCATTAACATCAGGTAACAGAGATTGATTGTACAATTAAAATGCATAATAAATTAACAGAAAATACATATATTACAACAGCCATCCAGTTCATTCGGTGATGGTATTCAAAAATCAAGAAAAATAACACAGAGAACAGGAAAATAATGAAAATGAAAAAGTATCAACGAGAATAGTAAAAAACAAATAAAATAAATAAATAGACTAACATTTCTAATAATTATAAAAATATTAGTTCAGTCATTATAGTAAGTTCACCTCGGAATTTGAGATTCCCAGCTGTAAGTCTGTAAATACTTGTATATTGACACTCTAAAAGTTGCCTCAAACCTACATATGTTGCGTACTATACCTAGGTTTTGAGACAACTTTTAGGTGACAGACTTACAGCTGGATTTCTCGAATTCCGAGACTCTTACTTAATTTAAGCTCAAATGACTGGACTAATGTAATAAAAATTGTTCGAAAGAATTTTTGTATTTTTATATTGGCCATGCAGGCAGCGATCTTCATGGCATTGAGATTTGTACCGGAAGGCTGAATTTAATGTTAACTGTTCATGGCAATTTTAACAAGAATCCGATCTCTACATGCTGAAGATTGAAACTCTGCATTCTTTATAATTTTTATTATGTATAATAGCAATTCTTACACAATATTTTATAAAGATTGTACATTTGAAAAAATTATATAAAAAATGTAGATGGTGTATTTACAGTAGATTTAATTTGACATTAATTTTTCATTAAAATTTTAACCAGAATGCGTTCGCCTTGTAATGAAGAATCCAACCCTGCGTTATTTATCATTTTCATTATGTTTAATTCCAATTCTTATACTAGTTTACTTAAGAAACTTTATGAAAAATTTAATAAAAACATGGTGTAATTATGTCAGATTTATTTTAGCATGATTTGGTCAATGCAAATAAACCAAGAGTGCTTTCTACTCATACTGAAAATCTGATTTTTTTGCTTAATGTATAAATTAGCTTGAATTTTGTCGAGCAGCTTTGGTAAAGAAAATTCTTCACAGTTATATGTATTTTCATTCCAATGAGTATAATAATAAGTTTTTTACTTATTAAAAAAAAAATATTTTTTTCGCATTATGACTTGATAACACGAACATTCAAATGAACGAACTGATATTATAAAAAAAATTAACATAATTTGAAATCATTGGAGTAGAGCAATTTGGGCGTTTATCAGAAACATCAAAGCATAAATTTAAATAACACAATGTGTTTTAAATTTTGTTTAAAATATTCAAACCTAACCATATAAAGTTATCATATCGAATATACAATGAGAGGGAAGACCTTGCATTAATTTTATCAAAGGTCGTGTTCTTAATTGCATGATTAATTTGGAGATTACTTCGAAGCCATGACTTTGAATATTGGGAAACTTTCAAACTACATTACTGAATACACAAAATATTATAATGTTATGCGTTAAAAATAATACTAGAGACCCAAATGTCTGTAAATGAGATTCTATTTTCGTTTCGCGTTCATTGAAGAGTTACAAATTACACTGAATCACGCTATAATATGCGAAATGAAACTATTTAGCAAGGTCAAATAGTTGTATTATCGTAAGGCAAAGCAAAAAATGTTGACTGTTTTAATTATGCCATTAGTGTAGATCATTACAGATGCAACTAAGACAACAATCGAGCTCGATTAAAATACTGAGGCAATCAAATGCTAAGTGCTCCATCGGTTCGTATAACATGCTAGTTAATTAATATTGCGATTACAACAGGACCGAACTAAACTGACCAGATTCATTTTTCTTATTTTGCCTTATAATTTACAACTGTTATTCAGTCAAAAAGTTTTGATTCTAGCAAGTGATGAAGTAGAAGGTCTCAAAAAGTTGGCACGTGACCATACCCATGATTTACCCCCGACCCCCTCAAATAATCGAATAAACTAAGGACAAAAGAAAATTCATTAAAATAAGTTTTCTTCATAAAATAGCGTCTGTCCAAAAAAATATTAGAATTTTTTTATATCGTCGAATTTTTCAAAAATAGTGAAAATCTGAATTTGGGGATGAGCACAGTTTATACTGAAGAGAAGTCTATTAAGAACTCTATAAAAATTTCAAATTGATGAAACGGTTCAGTAGAAATTGAGAAATCGGGGGTACAGTATTGAAAGAGACAATTTCAATTAAAAGTAGTTTAATTAAAATTAAATTAAAGTTTCGCAGAGGGTCGAGACATAGAAGGATTATAGTGGACAAACCACTGTATCCCCGAAAATGATTAAAATTTTGAAAAATCCTTCCTATGCACATATTCTTGAATAGTAAAACTTTGGCAATATTAAAAAATATCGATTTCTTAAAATTTCTTGACCAGAATAAGTACCCCCTTAAATAGGTCACAATAAAAAATGTATTACAAGGAATAACTAAGGAGCAATTAAATATTTGTGCAGTATTTTTTTTATTTTTTGCGCTATCTTTTATGTTTATTTGTTTGATCTATGTTTGGTTCTTTATTTTTCTTTGTTTGATTTAGTTTCTGTAGCCATTATGAGTTTCATAATCAATTAAAATTGTAATAATATTCCTGGCTGCACTGAAGCATTACAAAGCTATATTTTTATAATTACGATAAATGTAATAATTTCATATAATGCCATTAACAATATTTTTCTTATAACGATGATAATTAGATTGACATAATTAGAAATGTTTATTCTATGCAACCAATTTAAACTTGAAACTGAATAATATTTATTTGAAAAAGAATAGTTTTTTGAATTCGGGTTTTTCCTGATTTTATTTATTAATTGATGACATATATTAATAGTCAAAACGTATAAATAAAAATGTAAAAATAATATTCTATTTTTTAAATCGACAAATTGGCTGCTGATTGTAACAAATTTGTTTCAACGTAGAAAAAACAATCAATATATATATATATATATATATATATATATATATATATATATATATAAATGTGAGTATGAATCGTTCGATCAAAAAAGCTTATCCTTAAATGTTGTCTATATAGTTCATAAAAACTCATATAACTATAGTTAACAAACAATCATTCTTACCAATTTAACGCCACAATGCAATTAATGAATTATAATGTCGTTAAGGTAAGAACAACTTCTATAGATGTTCCTATCATTGAATTTCATTAAGCAATAGACTTGTCGATCTGTGAAGTTAAATAAAAAATCTATTTTGCTGCTAAAGTTATTTCAAAGACTCAATAGAGATTTTAATATGAAACCGTAATAAAATAATTGAACAAAACTTGTTCGCCAATTCAATAAGATTATTCAAATTTATAAATCTCAACATCGCTTCTGTTTGCTAAAAGATGTATATTATTAAATCCGAAATGAAAGTCTGTTCGCATGCTGTTCGCCAGTTATAGATCACGTGCAGGGCAAGAATTACTATCGATTGCACATACCATGTTTAATATCATACGAACACGTACCTATTTTCACTCCTTTCACATATTCGTTCTCGTTTAATTTTTGCAGCAAGTAAATTGCGGTAGACGCCAATTCATTTGAAGTCACCTCCTCCAGGCACGTCTTCTCCTGCAGCAGCAGAGAAATTATAGCATCACCGTCGGTTTCATAAACTAAATTAATATCCTGCGATGCACATGAGTCGTTTCTGAAATCCAATGCAATCGCAGACCAAATATGGAAAACTAATTGGCAAAGCGTAATCAGTCGGATCATGTTGGAGGCAGAGTTGATTCAATCAGTAATTAGTTCCATCAGATGCAGAAGTTCAAGCAACATTAGCAGAAATGTATTGTTCGATTCAAATGAAATTCATTTGTAACAGCGACTGTTAAATCACATTGCGCTTACGTAAGTCATCAATGGGTTTGCCAAAGGTAATTTCGGTTTACGTAACACAAAAGTAAAGGTCCTTCAATGATTTATTGTTGGGATGGATCATGATGGGATCACAGAGTCACGTAATATTACACAGTAACATTATAACATATAAGGTATTTTGGATTTGGAAGGCACTGGAGAAAAATCAGATGTCTCTTGATCAGCAATTGATATTCCAGCATGCACTTTATTAGGGATTTAGCATAAAACAACTTCTTTAAAAATTCACTGATTTTATATAAAAAGACTATTTATTTTATAAAAAAAAAATCAATAACAATTAGCAAATCTATGAAATCACTTTACACTGTAAGACAACTGTTTCTAGAGTATAATTATTTCATTTGGATTCTATTTCAAGAAATCTCCATGAAATGCAACACTTTATTTATAAGCCTTGAAATTTGATAAATAAAATTAATTACAACAGATTATATTAAGAACCAATAAATTTTTAGAACAATTATTAACAACTTTTTGACTAATTTTAAGAAAATCCACAAAATGTGTCTCCAATAATCCAGTCTTCGATGGTGTAACTTCTATCTTCAACTGTTCGAGCCACTGTTATCAACCGATCGTCGTTAAGCAAAGTCTTGCACGAGCGATTGCTTTCACATCGAGTCCGTCGTGTGAATTGTGCTAAAATTGTTTGAAAAATTCAAACTGCAAAAGGTCGTACAGAACCGACGTCGAGAGTAAAATAATGCAAGTAACCGTGTCTGTTGTTAGTTTGCTGGTGGTTGGCATGGCAGTATTCAAATACAAATATAATCGATTCACAATATACGGAGTCCGGTATATTACGGAAGTAAGGGCATAGTGGGGATAATGTTACAGCGCTCGCAAACATATGCCAGAGAGGCCATTAATTACTGGGAGGGTGCCTGGCACCAAGGTTCGGGTTTTCTATGTTTCATTTTTAATTATGTTATGTAGTATTTTGCATGTTGATGTTGTTCAACTTTTGCTTCCGTTCGAAATTCAGGAATAGAAATACCTATATTATAATTGATTGAGTCTAATATTCCGACATATGCAAAATATACAGGAAGAGTATTAAATTATTCCAATGAAAATTTCTGAACTTTCGATACTTTTTACGCAATATTATTGACATATACATTATAAAGATATTTAAAAGTCAACCCCTTCAAATAGTTTTAATTTGTACGACGTCATTTAGATATGCAACCAATTTTCTTACGGCAAATTGCTTTGAAATCTTTCCATACCGTTATTTAAAAATTGGACTTGCCTTTTCAAAAATTTAATCATTTTTTCATTTCGACCATTTTTGTCAGTTTTTCATTGGTAATGTTCTTTTAAATCGTTCAAATTGGACGTTCTTTTCAAAAACTAAATTGCCATTGGTGGGGATCACCATGATTAATTAGATATTAAGCGGACTGCAAATTATAAATATCCTGAGTGAATTAAACATCTATTTAGTTTATAATATATATTGATCTTCACACCACAACTTTCTTCTCTCGTTACTTTTCTAGTCTCTTATACTAATAATTATTATAAGTTACAGGTACTTATATTCATAAATTTATACCCCTTACCCCGAAGGGTCCCGGTATCTTGACCAATCATTTTTCTTCGAAACGGTTAGACCTGCCTTTGCCAAATACTATTCAGCTCGTCTCCTTATTAATAGGAATCCAATATTTTTTTAATCATTGAAATCGATTTAATCCGTGTTCTCAAAATCGGCGACGAAAATTTGTAGCTACACGTACAAACACACATACACCCATTTCTTGGTATGCCAAAATGTTGTTGAAATCTTTGAAACGTAAAGATATGTAAAAATTTGCATTTTCGTTTTTTGCGATTATACTATAACTTACCCTAATTATTTATAAGAACAGAACAAAAAATTATAGTTAATTAAAATTTTAATATAAAATTTCAATTAACAAATAAAAAATACCAGAACATAACGACAATTGTAAAATAAAAAAAATATAGCATCCAAATTGTTTTGACAAAATAATGATGTTTAATCCATCACTACCCAAATCAAACCATCCAACTTTATTACCTTAGTCCATCCATACATTCCATTTTTTTCGACGAATTGTCTGGCAAGGGCAATGCTTCAACCATTAATTGATGTGTTTACTAAATTTTTAATTCACAATTTTTATTTTAAATTGACGTGACTAGTAAATTGTATATTTCTTGTGAATTCGAAGTTAATTTGAAGATAAATTTTACTGAATATGACATAAAATCATATGTCAAAATCATATGTTTTGGACGTAATGAAGATCTTGATTTTTGAAGAACATCTACAATTTTAGTTTGTTGTATCACCCTGAAGACTTTACCTCACACTTCTCAACATGAAAAATATAAAAAATATATAGTATGTGTGAAATGGCAATGAGAAATCTCTAACACTATTCTTCCCTGAACCGAGTTGGAGTTTAACTCAGCTCACGGTTCTGCCCTAGGGCAGTACTACCCATTAAAATATAGTTCATTGTAGGTATAGACAAAAAGCTTATTTTATAAACATACCTTTCAGTGCAAATAAGTAAAAATAATACAAATAATCATTTTATTATTGGGGCTTTCCTTGGCTTAGTAGAGTTATGAGCTTAGAATGAGAAGTTGCAGGTTTGATGTCTCGGACAGCCTGATGTCAACCAGTAATGACTTCGGTTTTCACTTGAAAATATATATAGCAATACGTTTCCAAGTCAAAATAGCCCTTTCTCGGCTATGCTGCAACATAAAATAAATCAAACATCAATGAATTAAGGACAAAATAAAGTCTATCAAACGTAGGTAAGGCCAACTATTTTGCAATCCAACACTCCAAAAGTTCAATTTAGGGATCGTCCATTAATTATGTGATTGGATTTTAAACATTTTTAGACTTCTCCCTCCTCTTGGTGATACGAGATGATATTTAAAATTAACCATCACCCTCCTCAACATCACGTATATTTTTAGTGCCTGGAAAAAAACGTTAAAGTTTTGGAAGGTTTTTTGTAAAATTTTGGATTTTTATTTAAACTCAGGTAAAAAATAAATATACATGACAACTTACTAGACCTCCCTCTCGTAAAATTTCGTGATTTTTGGTCAAACTCCTACCCCCTTCTTAAGCTTCACATGATTAACACTAGAATGACGGAGGTTGGTTGTGTACCTATTTTGCCTGATTGTGAGTCATTTAAGTAATGGATTATGGAAGAATAGAAATTAATTTTTGTATACCTTTCATCGTACTATGAAAAACTAAAAAAAATATTTTAAAAAAATTACTTGAAATTGTTATGTATATCACATAAAAAGTGCAAATGAGTCAAATTGACTTACTTCGTCATTCTAGTGTTAAATGTCGCAAATAAAGTGACAACGAAAAGAGCAAAGGATTCAAAAATAAAAGCCAAGACGTCAACAAACTTATAAGACTACTAAAGGTTCTGATTGGTGTTAACAAATATAAAAAATTAATTTAGTTATTATGGAATAAAGAGACTCTTGAAGAAAGTAAAATGTTTCTGCGCCCTGCGCGTGCCGCGTATGCAGTCTGCATTCGCGGTCGAGTGAACGCGTAGCGTCCGACAACAATATGTGAAATATTGTATTACTCTAATAATGTAAGTATCAAAGTATCGCAGTATGCCAACGGTGTCACCTGGCGTGCCACCCGCGCCCTTTGTTGCTCAATCCGAACACGGGGCCGTTACGGACCGCGGTTCGCACGTGTACTGATCCTGAACGAGAATGTTGCGATAAGTTAACCAGATTCATCACAAAGAAATATAAACATTTTATTAGATACAAAGAAATTGTAGATTAAAGGGAAATAGTGGTGTGCATGGCATCGTGCCTTAAAGCAAATTGCTGGAACTTCCCGTACCGTAATGAAAACTCTTAGTACGGAACCCAAAAAAAATTACACAAAATGTGTACACATTATTAAAATCTCTAAAAATATATCTGATAATTTGATATACATATGTCCAAAAAACATTTTTGACCCCCAAATGACTTTTTTTTAACTTTTTTTTTATTGAGAGTCCTTAACCGCTGGACCTGCCTTACCAAAAATTTAATCAGTTGTTCATCTTGTCAATACAAGTAAAATGTTTTTGAATTATTAAAATCGGATTCCCCGTTCTCTTAAAAACTGAGTTACCGTTTTTGGCACTTTTTGCCCCGTATCTTCGGAACGGCTAGACCTGCCTTCGCCAAAAAGTAATCAGCACGTCTCCTTATCAATACGAATCGAATGTTTTTTGAATTATTCAAATCGGTTGATCGGTGTTCCCGAAATCGTCGACGAAAATTTGTATCCGCACACACACACACATACATCAATTTTTTCTAAGGCAAGCCAAAATGTTCAAAAACCTTTGAAACGTGAAGATATATCAACATTTTAATTTTCGATTTTTTTGCGATTATTATAACTTACTCTTAACAAGATTATTCTTGTTGTGAACAAAATTCATAGCTGTTTGAAAAAAAAAAACCTAGGTGTACATGAACTTTTGCCTCAGGGCAAGTTGCAAAAACTTTTCGATATGTATAAATAATCGACATAATACGAATTTAGATTTACCAACTTTTAAAATTGTGATTAAACTACATATTTTAAAATTTCGATATGGCCCATCATCCCGCACATTATTCATGCTATTTATAGTCAAATCGCTTTTCGAAGAACATTTTTACGATGTTTGTTAAAGATTCTTAACTTTTTAATGATAAATTTCATGGTCTTAACTTAAGACCATGTAGTCTATCATCACAAAAACTTTTATCAAATACATGAAAAAATTAATTTCAATATCACAAAGAAATGGCTCAACCGGTCTTTACCAATATATAATCAGCACGATTCCCATAATTGCTAAAACGTGGGCAAAAATATTTGCACTTTACTGCTAAAATTCTAAAGGCACGTCCAATAGCAAAAATAAACATCGCAAGTCCTTTCTTAAAGTGTTCCATCAAACAACTTACAAATTTTTGAGTCTTTTTGAGATAACGTCGACGAAAAATCAGGAAGTGGCTTACACAGTTTTAACCATTTTTGTCTCAAACTATGCAGAATAGCTCAAAACATATATTTAACATCTTGGAGAAAACATAAACTTCTTCGGGAAGTTAATATTATCAACCATAGTAATAAGCAGACTGCTACTATGTACTTCATTATTCATTAAAAAAAATTTTATTAGTTTAATCAAATCAGTCCACTATTTAGAAAATCTATAGTTTAATCTTACAAGTTATCAGGAACAAAAGTACATAATTGCAATCTGCATGCTTCTTTAACAATTTCGTATAAAGTTCTATTACAGAATATCATTGAATAACTTAATATTTGTAATTATCATAATTAATAAACGACTCACGTTAGTGGTTTGATTATTAAATCTATATCCCTTTAACCATGATTTTTCCTCATTCCGTTCCAAATACTATATTTTCTTTTTTGTCTCAGACTAGTTGAACTTTCCAGAATTAAAATAAATTGCTTTTGTTCCATGGCTTTATTAAAAATCACATACACCAATTGTTATTTCATATTAGACCTAAATAACAAATTAAAAATTGCCAAATTGAATTATTACTATATATGTGAGTAACAATTTAATTCATATTACAACATTTTCAATGCAAGTACTTAATTAATTGACAACTGTAAACATGCAAAAGTTACATTGTAAATAAATCAATTGACAAAATTCATTAACATAGCATTGTTCTTGAATCACTTATAACTTGTTTCATAAAAACATGCAATGCAAATATAAAAACATTATATCAAACATAAAATATATCAGTCATAGTATACACAATATTTGCTTGATAAATTACAAAAATTATATTTGTATTTTTTGAGATCAGTACGAAGGATATATTTTATCATGAATTCCTTGTTTACAAAGATTCACTAATATAAAATTTAAATTTTCTTTAAGAAGTATTACACGATATGAAATGTATGAATATTAACTTAAATCTAAAGAGATCAATATAGATATCACAAATAAAAAATTTCATAGTTTTAAAAACAAATCACATATTTCATATTAATCTAATAATGATCAGAACATAAAAATATAATGTTTTTTTATCTAATTATACAGTACCATATCTTTATATAAAGATATTTAATTAGAAACATTATAGTTTGTTGATATAAAAAATATAGTTCAATCCGATTCAATATTAAATAATTTGCATACAATAGTTGAATGACCATGTAGCAAAATATTATATTCATTAAAAAATTATTTAATCATTGTTAGATATCAACAATATTAAACTTTGGTATAAATGTATAACAGTAAACTACAATACAATTTCAACATTTATAAATTTTTTTGAATAAAAAAAGAAAGAACAAATTAACGGGAATAAGTTGTATGTAAATAGTTTAAAACTGATTATTTGAAAACAAATGAATAAAAATTATAAATCCAATAATTCATCGTCATTTTAATTAAATGAAAATATTTTTCAAGGCTGTAGATTTTTGTTCTTCTATTAAGATATAGCACGACGAGGTTTGCCGGAACTATTATATGCAGTGCGTGTTACAAGTTTTGCAGTTGATACGCCGACGTTAGGATTCTTGGGGCAATGAGACCTAGAAGGCAATGTTACTTTATATGCATTGCAAATGTTTAGAATAAATTGCTCAATATGACTTTGTCATGCAGGGGATATTATAATCAAGTTTTTAAGCTCTATTTCTACCATTTGTTTATATGTTATTTTAACATAATTTGCTCAGGTTTCTCAAATTCAGCAAACTAATTTCAAAAGTATGGTCATAATGCCTTTCTCTTATGTTTCAACACAACATGGTCAGAATTAAATACAGAAAATTCACAGACTCAATAATTTAAAATGTAGCAATGAATTTTAAGAATTTTGTTCTATTACATATATAATGTATATAAATATATGTGAACTTACTCAGTATGAGCCAAATCCCCCGTGGCATTACACATTCTGCAGATATAGCTTCTTAATATTGGACATGTCACAATCTTTGATCCATCTTCTTGAGGAGCATGCAGCTGATGTGATTCATATACAGATTTTGCTTCTCTATTACTGCGACAAAATTTGCAAAATTTTAGGGGACCATCTTCACGTTCTATTTTATTATTTTGTAACTTTATTGTAAAATCGTTCACTTCATTCTTTTGATCTGAAAATCACAAAGAGTACAATTATATAAGTGTGAGTTTTATATATCATTATATAATTTAATAAGGTTTTAATAATTATGGAATATTGCTGGTAAAATATATCTAAAATGCTGTAGTCTAATTAATATAATTTTGATAAGTAATTTGTGTTTGAAAGATATTAACATATAACAAATTTACCTTCAATTGATTTTTTCATTGAAGCCAAATTGGGGCTAGCATTACTTTCCTGTTTAATATTTTCTTTGTTTAGTTGATAATCAGCATTATTGTTCTCATTATCAAAATGTTGGTCCATTACTTGTTCAGGCACATCATACACGTTGTAAATAGATTGGTCAGATATAAAATGATTGAGAGGGGAAAGATTTGTCAAATGGTGAGGGTAGGGGTACAATATGGTATTTGCAGGACACACAGGAACTACTTGTGTTGTAACTCGAGATTTGTAATAAAATCCATTATATAGAAAAAACATATCATTAAACACAGTCGTATGACTATTTCCAATATATGGAAGCCATGGATTATTCGAATTTGCATAGTATGTTGATATGCCAGCATTTAAATTATTATTCAAATAATTAATTGGAAAATTATTATTATTCAAATAATTAATTGGGAAATTATTATTCAAATAATTAATTGGGATATTATGATTCAAATGATTAATTGGGATATTATTATTTACAGAATTATTTGGCATAGTCGGAACATTTGTAATATTATTATTATAATTAGTAATGGGATCAGGGTAAAAATTTTCGTTATACAAAGGCACACTCTGATTGCACATATTTACAAATTGAGCTTCTGAAATGTCGGTCTGAGTCGAGCAATCAACTAATATATTTGAATATTTGCACCAATTCAAAAAAGGTAGGGTGAATTTACAAGCAGGTTCATGATTTTCTACTAAAACTTGTTTCACAAAAAAGTAAACCATGGGTAGTTTGGACATTATAGGTACTTCTCCGGTGGCCGCAAGAGAAGGCGGATTCATGTTAGAGGAAAATTGTGAGATTTGTTCCTGTATGCTAATGTCGGTTTGAGTTTCAATACTTCTTGATACTTTAATCAATGATGGACCTTCGTGTTGGAGTGACATGTTTTACTAGAACATATATATTATTTATTCTCATAGTACTTAATGATTAAATTACATTTTGGGTTTTGTTATACTTACAATGTGCTTTGACAAATTATCAACTACAATCACCTATAAATTTATTGACACTGGTTGCGTTTTATTTAATAAAGTGTAGAATAGCTACTTCATGCACCTAATAACAACAACATAACATATAAACAAACAAAACGGTTTAAAAACACTATTTTATGCAAAAACGAACACCATGTTTAAAATTTTATGACGAAGTATGATAATCGTATACGAAGTTTACTGAGCACAGACTAAACTTCCTGAACACGAATGCAGGTAATAAACTGTGCAAAAAAAGACTAACTATAAAATATATAATATTTTTATTCTCGCAATAAAAAGGTAACTTTTTATACTGTATTTAATAAAATTATAAAAAATAATAAGAACATTTCATATGATATTATTAAAATATGTAAAAGTATTGAACAAATATTTCATACTTTAGGGGATTAAAATTTCGCAATGTTGCAACACTGCTTGATAGCAAAGCTGTCATTTGAAATCAAAGTAGTTTTTGTTATAAATATTTATTTTATTTAGCTTAGTATAAATATAAATTTTGAAGTATTTTTTGTTTAATTTTCGGTTATGAATATGTGAAACCATGAAAATTTAAACAAACATGATAAAAATGTTTGCTGATCTTTACAATCTTACATCTTTACTATAATTTGCTCCATCTGAAAATATGATTATAAATTATAATTTGATACTAAATTATATTATTCAGCGCAAAGTTTTTATCCATATTTTAAACCTATTCAAAGAAGTCAAATCTTATTGCTGATATTCAATTTTGACAATTGTCTACATAAAAATATAATTCTACAATCATACTGTATTTATTATAAAATATTTTGAAAATGGACAGTTTTCTACTACATTGCAAAAGTTTATTGGTAAGTAAAATTCTATTTCTACTATATGTGTGTATCACATAACCATTAAGGTTAGTTCATTTGTATTTTTAGACTAACCTGCCCAAGCTTAAATTGTTCCGTATTGTTTTGGGAAATGAAGCATGTGACCTGGATTCTGCCATTTCTGCTCTTACTTATGCATTTTATTTAAATCACAAGACAGGCATTCCAACTTTACCTGTAATGAATATTCTGAAACAAGAAATTCCACTAAAAACCGAAGTAGTTCATTTTCTAAAACAAAACGATATTCTGTTACATAATTTAATATTCAGGTAAAGCAATCACAAATTTTCTATTCTAGATTGACAACATGTCACATATAAAATAATAATATTGTCCGTAAATGCACATGTTATTCACTATAAAATTATTCCATATAGAAGTATAAACTTCTATACTTCTTATAAAATAATAATACTCTGGTCATATTTGCAGAGATTCACTTGACCTGTCTATGCTAAAGAATATGTCTTTTGAAATAACTTTAGTAGACCATCATATATTATCAGAATATTGGATACCATTTAGCTCAAAGGTAAAGGAAATATTAGATCATAGGCCGAAAGATCCAAGCTGGATGTGGGATAGCTCTGTTCAAGACAAGATTCAAATGGTATTTAACATGTGTACATATATATATATATATATATATATATATATATATATATATATATTTTTCTTGGTATTTTATGTATAAAATATTTTAGGTAGGATCCTGTGCAACATTAGTGGCAAATGAAATATTTCAAAATCAAAATGTACATAACAAAGATTTTCAAATGCTTGCCAAACTTTTACATGGTAAGAACTCTTAAAATAATTAATAATTAATACAAATCATGAACATTTATAAAACAGCTACTCATTTGATTTCAGCAACAATATTGCTAGATACTGTGAACTTTTCAAAATCTGCAGATAGGGCAAGAGAATTAGATGTAAAAATAATTGAGAGGTTGGAAACTGTGCTGAACGTTTCACCTGAAGACTTGCTTGAGTATAGATCTAAAATATTCAATGATCTCACTAAGGCTAGAACAGATATAAGCAAGCTAACTCCAATTCAAATTTTACATAAAGACATGAAGAAGCTTGGGCAGATACCAATTTCTGGAATGCCTATTTTAATAGAAGTACACATTTAAATAAAGGCTTACATAAAATCTTACATAAAATATTAACTAATTGTTATATTTTTCAGAAGTATCTTGAGATTGCTGGTTCACATGAGGCCATTTTAGAGATGTGTGAATTAAATTCAACAGATATAATTATACTGATGGGAATGCAGATTGATGGCACAATGGTAACAAGGGATTTGGGTATATACAGTAGAAATTATGCAGAAGAAATTAATGAGGTATCCAAATAAAAGCTTATAGAAACTTTTGTTAACATAGTATGTTAGCAAACATTATGTTGATTGTTATTATCTTTCAGATCATATGCACTTTAAAAAATAATAAGAATCCTGATTTATTATTGCAAGAAAAGAATTCTAGATTGAATGGTCTGACACTATTTTCTCAAGGAAACACTAAAGCCACAAGAAAGCACATTTATCCAATTTTGAAAAAGATAATGGAAAAATTATGTTTATGTAATGTAAAAAGCTGAAATATATCTTTTCAATGTATCTTTAATTATATAAATATATATTATAAAACTTTATATTTCCATTAGCCTTTCACTTTCATCTAGAAGTTCTTTTTGCTTTATACTGCCTTCAGAAACTTTATGACTGTGTCCAATTAAACAGGCTTTCAAGTTAGAACCTTTTCCAATAACTGCATTGCAACCAATAACACAATCCTCAATAATAACACTAAAATAAATTAAATTCAGTAAATAAAATGAATAGATGTTATATGAATATAAATAACACAGTAATTACTTTTCTTCAATGATGACACCACTCATAACAAGAGAATTGGTAATTCGAACTTTAGGATTAACTACGCAATTAGATTCTAATAAAGTATTCTTCAAACTAGTTTTTTCATTGATGACATTCTTTATACCAATTATACATTTTTCATCAATTTGGTTTGATTTAATATCACTTGATTGTGATATTAAAGTCATTTCACTTTCATCCTTATTAATTTTTGGCCACAATTCCTTAATCTGAAATATATTGTTACAGTTGAGAAGAAAATTGTTTTAATAAATTAATATAAATAATGATATTATTTGCATGAATGTATACATCCATATATCATTACCTTTTGATTGCATAAGCAGAAAGATGCAATATTATTAACTCTTATTCCCAAGCAATTAGATTTTTTTACAACTGCATAACATTTAATTGAATCCCCAAAATACTTTGGAGAACCATTAACACTATCATTATATGCACTATTGAAATTCAATGTGCTATCATTTCTTAACGAGTCCATCAAAGAGTTTTTCGAGTTTTCATTTTCAGTTGTACTTAGTTTACAACTTAATTGCTTCTTAACAACAAGTGGTATTAATTCACCTTTGATAGTGGTAATATGCTTTTCGTAAGATAAATAATCTAGAATATCGTTTCTAATAGCATAAATATGAGAATCTAACAATTTGCTAAATATTGTTAAAGATTTATGCTTTTTTAATAAGTGTAGAGGAAATGTTATACTTTCGGAATAATCAGAGGCACTAGCTAATAACACTAATCTGTTTGTTTGCTTATCTATACAAACTATGTCATGTTCTGAAAAATAGTTGAACATAAGTCGCATATAACAAAACTATATCATTATATTATAAATACCTGGTTTATAATAGTTTTTAGGTCCAGGAATAAATAGTTTCTCATCCATATTTGAAAAGAACATGCAACTAATAGTGGCATTATGTAGACGGAAAAGCAGCAGCAATTCATCAATATTTGACTAAATAAAAATATGAAGATACTGAGACTCATTGAATAGTTTTTAGTTCAGAAATTAAGTTAAATATATACTTCTGTAACAATATCACATGGAACAACCAGAACATCTCGAGTAAGTTTATCACGAATAAATCGCAGTGATTCAGCAGTACCATAATCTTCACTAGGAATACTAATAAAATCTAATTTTAAATTAAGAGAAGTTTTATCTAGAGCATTTTGTATTTCAAGTTTGTGCGAGTCTAAGACGAGAACAATGGCCTCTGAAAGAAAAATAATAAATAATTAGTAAAATTAAATAATTAATATGTATGGTTTTTCATACTGATAACCTTTAAATCCTTGTCTTTCTAATAAACGCAATGGATACCATATGAGTGGATATTGACCTATTGGTATTAAACACTTCGCTCTAGGTCCAATAACCTAAATAATTTTGAGTATTTTATATATTGATAAATTATTTGCCAGTGATGCAAGATTTGTGCAAAAATAACCTCAGGAAAACGAGACCCTTTACCAGCAGCAAAAACAACAGCTTGGAATTCCATATGCATTTTAATGATTAAATAAATATAATTAAAATAAAATAAATTTTATAATAATTTGCTTTTTAATAAAACTATTATTAAAATTTACAGATTTCAGCTAGAAATATATTTGACTGTAAACTGACAGTTCGAGGGTAGTGTCATCTATCTAAAGGTATGCGAAAGATATAAAAATTACATTCATATTCAAATTTATAAAATGATAAAAAACTACACATTCATTGTATATTAGTATTTAATTTCAACTGATTTATCAAAATAAATATTAAATTGATATCAAAATACTAAAATGACTGATGGTGGACTCATATGATAATATAAATTACTTTTCTTTTAAAGAAATTTCATGAAGTTACTAATTTTTCATACTAATTTTTTTTTTAATTTAATAATCTGAAAAAGAGATTCTCACTCAGGATTAAACAAAGATATTGTGTTATTTGAAAAAAAAATTAACTATTAACCAATTAGATACATATAAATTATATACAATTAATATGAAATCATGTTATTCATCCAGGGCATCTCGTTTACGTTTTTTATATCCAGTAACCATTTGTCCAGCAGCAATGGCACTGTGTCCTTTCAATAGCCATTCATCCATAAGTAAAGTGGTATTGATACCATTTTTTAATAAACTTTCTTCAAGATTGTCTAATTTATTTGAAGATTGAGTACTATTCTCTGTATTTTGTGATAAATCCATTATATATCTAAACCTGTTTTTGAAGGTCTGCAAAAATGATATAAAATATAGTTATTATATATTCACAGTTGTAAGATGTTATGTAATATAATTACTTCTATTAAAGTTTCTGCAATAGTTCCCCTAACATCAAATTGGCACATGTAGGATCCTACTTCGTAGAAAAAATTGCAAAGTCTACTAAGATCAACAGCACAAGCATCAGCTTGTAATATTTCCCTGTAATAAAATTCACAGTATTTGTAGCATATTATTTAAAATTATCTTATTTAATAATAATTGTACCTATATTGTTCTTTATAAATTTTTGGAATTTCTGGTGTAATCACCCGGTTTCTGCCAACAGCCACTGATTTCACTAGCCAAAGTGGAAATTCCAATACCGTACCAGCTTTTAAATTTTCATTTGCAGAAGAAGGGTCTAAAAAACCTATAAAATAGAAAGTTGAAAGCTTGAACAAAATTCTTGTAACAAAAACAAATTATGTTTAGAGCATTATTTATGTTTTCGAGTTAAAATTTTATTAAGAATGCAAATTGAATAATTGAACAAATATATATTAATTAAGTTCTTTGTTTGTAGTTTAGGAACTTAATAAGGAAGTTTAAATTGATTGATGTATGCTATAGAATTAATTTTCCATTACTATAAACAAGGTTTGTATAGTCCTTGCACACATTAGTCTTATTGAATAGAAGACATGTAATTGTTAGAAAATATTTTAAATATTTATTAAAATCTGTGCAATATAATAATCTACCTAATCCAGGTATTTCATCAAGAACTTTACATGGCAATCTTTCGTTTGTTGCTAAAATATCTTCTATAGTAAAATAGTTTGGATAATAACTTCTTGAATCCATTTTAATATAATGCACAATTATTAAATGATTTCATATTTTACTGAGTTGAAATTATAGTTTAAATGTTAGCTAAATTAAAACGAAATAGTGATAAAGCTCATATTATTATATTGTCTAGGATAAAGCTAAC